CCAATAAGGCCACACCTACTTCAACAAGGCCATACCTAATAGTACCACTCCCTGTGGGCCAAGCATTCAAGCACAAGAGTCTGTGGAGGCCACTCCTACTCAAAGTTCCCAGGGAGGAAAGGGAGCCAAGTCCCATTCCCAGCATCATCACTAGCAGAAGTAACATCTCATAGTGACACCCAAAGAGAAGAGGCCTTCCACCTGAGGTCACAGCAGAACTGCACAGAGCCACTTCACAGAGCAGGACTTCCGTGGTAGGGCTTGTGCTGACTTCCATTAGTGCCCTTCATCAGTAGTTGGGCTCCTGCCTACATAACTAGTGTGTGTGTGTGTGTGTATGTGTGTGTGTGTGTGGATTACATATGCATATATCACACAACTGGATTATCTGGAGTTCTGATGATCACATCTGACATCCAAAGCGAGCTGTGGTCTCAGCTTGAAAGGATCATCACCCCAGCACAGCCAAGACCACTCAGGCAGCTGCAGACTGAGGTCACTGTAGTGGTTTTTCCCATGATCTAAATGGTGCTGGGAACAGAGTCTGGCAATGGAGAGCCCTCGGATCTATGCAAGCTAAACTCAGGCCCAGCATCACAGTTGCTTAACCAATGCTTTGGACACTGCCAGAACTCGTCATGAACAGCGCCCCCCCTTTCCACAAGCCTCGATGCTTACTTCTACTGCCCACTCCCAGGGAAAGACACCAAGTCTAGGCCATTGCACTAGAAAGAAAGTCATAGACATATGAGGAGGTTGGGAAGCAGAAGTTCTCCCTTCTCCTCAGTGAGCACCTCCCCTGCCTGGAAGCCATTTGTGATAGTGGCTAGAGTCCCAGATAGACACTAATCCCTTCTGGTGGACAGCTTTGGAATCATACCCTTGGGTGCTCATGGTGGAAATGTGGTTATATCTATTCCCCAATTTCAGCTCACCTCCAAAATAATGAGTGAGTACGAATGTTTTGCAGGCAGAGATTAGTAACCTCAGAGACCACTGAGGATAGACCCCTTCCTCATGGTTGGCTTTGGAGCTCATCATTTTTCCTGTCAACACTAGGAAGAAAAACATTACAACTGCCCCTCTTAAGCCTTCTAGTGAAAAGAATGGAACACCTCTGGCCCTGAGTGGAGACATACCATTCTGATCTCCTCCAAAGACTAGGACATCATATGCTATGTTGTCTCTTCCCTTGAGCTGGGCCTGTCAATCACATGGCCATAGTCTAAGCCGATTCACCTAAAAACATACTAAGGGGATGGGAGGAATAATTATCCCCTTAATGAGATGATGTGCTTGCTAATACTTCCACAGAGCCCTTCCCCTGATGCAGTTGCTTCCATATCTTCACTGCTAAGTTTGCCTGCTTTTTGAGTTTTAAAATCAAAAAGTATAATTTTCTTTGCCTTTTTTTTTCAAAGTCCAGGCATGTTTCTCCTGATCTAAGCACGCCTTCCCTGGCATCCTGCTTTCTCACTCATTCTCTGAAGCCCCACCCCTCTTACGAGCATGCCAGCTCTCATGGACCATACCTCAGAGGGCACAGGTTTCCCTCTTCATTTCTCTCCTCTACCCCCATTCAGCAGCTGCCAAACTTTACAGCAGGAACACCCTGTTACTCTTCTTTCAAATTCTAATAAAATGGGCCCTGAGCTTCCTTCTGAGTTTGTTTTTAAATTAATAATAAGACAAAGCCTAAGGAGGGAAGCCCACTTTCCCTGGATGTTCCCACTACTCTAAAGAGGGGGTAGGAAGGAGCCCAAGAGCGGCTTCTGAGGGAGCGAGCCTGAGGGTGTGTAGACGGCAGGGCTCCCCTGGGAAACATCTAGTGCCTGTTCACACAGTTCATGAGGTGAGGGGACACTGGTAAAAGAAGGAGAACAGGGCTCAGAGAGGTGAACTGGATGTAGCAATAACAAGAGCATGTATCCATCCAAACTAGTCTATTGTTTATAATGCTTCTAAGGTTTTCATTTCTACTCACTCTTTTGTGACCGTGCCTGTGGCAACATTACTGCTATTAACAGGAGTTCCCTCACAGTGTGCTCCTGACTATCCTCTGCTAACCAGTCTGGGAGTCACTAGAGTTGGGAGCCAGCTGTGGCTCTGTGGTAACATGGGCTCAAATACCGGCCCTTACTTAATACATTAGATTGGCTGCTTCCTGGTTTCACGAAAGGTTCTTAGACTTTCCAGATGTTGCTGTCCTCTAAGTTAGTATTTTCTTTTTTAACTGAACTTAATTTTTCCCTACAAACAGAAAAGAAAGTAGATTTGTAAAAGGTAGCAGGCCCCAAAGACAGCAGACTGAAGTGACTCAGACACAGCAGAAAAGGCCTGCAGGGTGCTCTGTGTGAGGAGGAGTCGGGCACTATGCTCCCTGCAGACACAGGCAACAGAGAACCCCTCACTTGTGTGAACCAAGCTGGTAGGGAAGGCCAGCGTCAAGCGGGTTTCTATATAACAGGCGCAAAGGACAACAGAGGCCAGAAAGTGTCTCTAAAGTAATGACTGCAATGATGGAACTTATCACGGCCGGAATAACACACCGGAAACATCCTTGAAACTGAGGGATGGAGTACCTCGTCCTGACTTCCACACCCCTACTAACCTGTATGCTGCAGCAACCTCTTGTCCATGTTATTATTTTTGCTAGGAGTACTTTAGGGAGGGCAGCCAAAAGTGATGGCTGCTTACAATAAGAACCCTGCTGCAAACAGGGTCGAGATGGCCACATAAGAATTTGGTTCTAGGCTGTCACTTTCAATGTTAAACTAAACTATAGCCCATTACATGACGTATATAGACACCTTCTTCTTCTCCTTCTCCTCCTCCTCCTTCTTCTCCTTCTTCTCCCTCTCCTTCTCATCTTCCTCCTCATTCTTCCTTCTCCTTCTTTGGTATGAGGATTTAGCAAAAGAAGGCAGTCCGAAGCCAGTATGTGGGAAGTATATTTTACAGGCCATGTTTCTTAGGTGCATAGGGGCAGGAAAAGTTTAAAACCATTGTAGCCTCAAGGTAACTAATCACGGATCTATAATCCTTCGTGCAGCTGGAAAACTCATTTCTTAGCACCTTCTAGAATAGCTCTTCTAAACCAACAAAAATAAAATGCAAATCACATGCATAATTCTAAGGTTTCCATCAGTCATGTTTTAAAAAATGAAAAAGAAACAGATGAAGTATTAATAGTATATTCAACTTAACATATTCAAAGTATTGTTGTTGCAAAGTATTGTCACTGCAACACATATGCATCATATGTGTACATTCAACATATTCAAAGTAGGTCATTCCAACATGTATGCACCATATGTATACATTCAACTTAATGTATTCAAAGTACTGCCATTCCAACATGTATGCACCATATGTATACCTAATCTTCAATGTCTGGTATGTATTTTACACTTAGAGCTTACATGTCAGCCCATAATTACCTACATTTCAAGTGCTCAGTAGCCACATGCAGCTAGAGGGGACCACAGTGACAGCGCAAATCTAGACTACTTTGGCGGTCCTCATTGTCTAACCCATACTCTTGCCTCCTCCATTAATGTAATTTTACTCCAACAGAAGAGACATTTCTCGCTATTATTAGAACACTTGCCTTTTCCAGGTTTAGTGCATCCACTTGGGTTTGGTGGCAGAGATGTTTAGCTTTTAAAAATTAACATGCTGAGTATTAGATTTCATATGGCATTTTCAAACATAATTTGTTTCTCCTGTCCATCCCTCTATTCCCCCATCACCTGACATCCTTTCTCAAAGCCCCTCTTTCCCCTCTCATGGTCTTCTTTCCAGTTTCATGACTCTAACTGCACTTACATATATTCCTATATCATGTAAACATTAAAAGCTAGGATCTGCATATAAAAGAGAACACACCATCTTTATTACTCTGGGTTACCTTGCTTAATATAATAATTTCCAGATCCACCCATTTTCCTGGAAATTTCATATTTTAATTGCATTTAATCTCTCCTCCAACTGTCCAGCCTGTAATCAAGTAATGATTAGCGAGAGTTCATCAAGGTATCAGGCATTTGTGTTAACTGATGAGGAGCAAACTACAGACAAGTCACAGATCTTGGCATCCCTGTCCTATGTGTCAGCGGGAAACGTGTGTCCAACTAAACTATGTGACTGAGGCTATTCAGAGACACTAAGTGACACTAAGGAAGGGACAACTGTTTTTCACAGAACTTCTGGAATTCTCTGGAAACTGCAGAGAGGCAGGAAAAAGGTACTGAACCTGGGAATGACAAAATCAACTAAGTGCTTTGAAACGGCAAACAAACAGATAATGTTGGGCAAGAACGTGACAAGGCCAGGTGACAGGGTCCTGGATGTTCAGTGACACAGTCAAGTTAACCCTGTGAGCAGGAATGTCTAAGGAGTGGGCTCTATGGTCACTTGGAAAGGACAAAGAAGAAAAAAAGAGTTGACCAAGGCAGTACGATGTCTGGAAAGGAGGTGGTATGCCCCCCCCACACGAGTGTAGGCAATGTGACAACACCACCCAATGAACTGACAAGGCTCCAGTACGTAGAAGGCACAATGAAGCCGAAAGACTCCAGGATGGTTAGGAAACTCACACCTGTGAGATAGGTCCAGCAGGCTCTGTGCAGCACCTGGCCGGCCCAATCAGATGCTGTGGAGGCTCACACAACTCCAAAGCCAGACAGTGGCTTGTTTGATGGTGAATTTTCTGGAAAAATATTCTGGGACTTTTAGGTGACTCAGGCAATGACATGATATTGGCAGTGGAAAGGGACCTCAGGGTTCCCGCGGGCTCCTGCTATAAATAGCCAGCAAATGGCAGAGCCAGAATTTACTAACTTCACAGGGTACTGAAGCCACCGTGAGATTACCAGAATGTGTGTCAGGAAGGAATATTTACACTAATAGCAACTCTGATGGCACAGAGCGCTAGGCTAGATTGCAAGTATCGAAACCACAGCAAGACATTTAACACAGCAACAACGGCTGGTACTCACATGGTGAACTGTCGAAAAAGTCCTGGTCAATGTTATGCAGCAGCTCCACTCTGGGGGATGGGGTTCCTTCACTGGAAAAGAATTGTTAGGAAAAGTTAATTTCTTCTCAATTGGATATGCATTTTTATGACTCTTTTTCTTGATGCCTATTGAAAATAACAAATCTGCCAGTTAACAATCTTATCATAATTCAGAGGTATCCAAAAGTTGTGGCTGGTGGGTCTTCCTTCATGGAGTCATTTGTCTATATCATAATAATTACTGAAAGTGTCACATAAAAATGTCAGTGTCAGGCCTATGATGATACCATGACCGTATTTGAATGTAACCATTCTTTATGGAAGAAACATAAGACTCAAGTCATCACACTTGAAGTCACAAGTCACATTGACTATACAGAAGGAAATAATAACATCTTCCAACACGAGGGCACTAACATTGCCTATGCAGCAGTGTCCTCAACATTAGCCATGTCACAATCTTTAAGTCTCTCTCATAGTGAAAGGGACCACAGATTTGTTTTTTAATTAATTAATTGAGTCAGGGTCTCCTGTGGCCAAGGCTGACTTGGAACTTGCTATATAGTAAAGGCTGGCCTTGAACTCCTAATCTTCCTGCAGAAGTTCTGAGGTTATGTGCTTGTACCACCACACCTGAATGGCAGATTTAATAGAAATATAGGTTAAATACATGCCTTTAAAACATTTTTCTTGAAAGAACATGTAACTACAGCCACAACCTATAACAACCAAAGAACAAATTGATGTCACTTAGTCCAATCTGCTCCTGTTTCAGGAGAGAAATTATGTCCTAAATTACTGGAAGAATATTTGAAAGTTGGGTTCTTTAAAAACTGGGAGCATAAACACCATGAAGAACTCTGTTCATCTTGACCTTGTGGAAACTGTAATCAATGTAAACCACTGGGCAAGAGCTGAAGATTCTTGCTAATCCAGTACCTCCTCCATGTATTTCTGGTGGCAAAAAACTGTTGACATCACAGGACTTATGCACACATGAGTAAACGATAAAGCTCTTGATATAACTAAGAAGACATAATTTCCAGAAGGCTCAATATCCACACCCAAACTCACAGCTAATTGTATATAATAGTGATTTCACATTTCAAAGACTAAAATTTCAGTAAGTGCCACGTGTCAATTTGCAACTTGGTGTTTTCCATGTAAAAAATGTTAAATATAATTAATAAATTCAAAACCCAATCCAAAAAACTCCAACTATCATTACTATCATTTCCTAAGGTAAGGTTACTTTCACACACACACACACACACACACACACACACACACACACACACACACACAGAGCAGTGGGACACAACCTGGGTATATTTAATGTGACTATTTTACAAGAGTTCATTGCTCTTTTTTAACTCCCATGAAACACCCCCACTAGAGAGCTGAAGGCAAATAACTCAGAGACAGCCGTAGTCTCCAGGGACAATACTCACGTAGGCTGTCCCACAGTTCTCAGTCCTTAGGAGCAACACTGCAGGATGGGTTGGTATTGAAGCAAGACACATCTCCTAGGACCCTTCCCTTCCCATTTTCTCCTGAAAATACTTTACTGCCCACCTATAGATTCTGGAAACTGACAGCTAGTTCCAAACTGGGTTTGGTAGTAGAGGCTCTGAATTCAAGGAAGGGAAGATGTGCAAACAGAACAGTAACCATAAGAAAATGTGAACAGAAAGGTGATGATGTGTCTTGCGCATAAAAACAGCAAATAGAGTTAAGCTCCTGAATAACAATAGCAAGGAAGGAAGTTGGGAGAGGCTATCAGAATGAAAGCAGTAAATCCATATTGATTGGGAAGAGGGCAAAGCTATTTGTTAAATTTAGATATAGCTAGGTTTTAGATATAACTAAGTGAAATTTATGTGTTATATTTTTAAGAAAATATTTTTTTCCTGGACTACAGAAAATGTGAACAGTTCATTCAATTCAGAAGACGGTAAGAATGAAGGAGGGAACCCTGTAAACTCAGCTTCTCCGTTCCTATGTAACCATTCATCTTTAAAACCAGAGTGTCCCAAAATATTAGGCAAGTTGATAAAGGGCACTTTTCTAATAATTCTGAAATTCAATGTGCATTATTATTTCTGCTCATTATTTCACTATTCATAAGAGCCACAAATAGCTGAAAGTCAGTAAACTTAGTAGCATGGTGAGACTTTCTGCGCGCCCTTGCTGACTATTGATTGGGAAAGTCTTCACAGGCAGACTTCTCACGACGCCAATAGGACCTCCAAGTCCCCAACTGTCACAGTGTGTTATGATTCCACTTTTAAAATATGCTAATCAAGATACTGTAGTGAGGATGTGGTTAAAAGACATGTCAAGAAAATACAATATGTGACAAGTGGTTAAAACAAGGACAAACACACTTAGGGACTCCAGATTATTAAGAGAATGAAATTGACATTTAGGAGAATTGAATAATATATAAATCTTGGGTTGCCTAGTCTTAAAAAAACATGTAATATCTCAAGATAAGCTCAAATAATAATCCACAAGGGCTAACCCTTTGGAAAGAGATGACAGACTAATTGTTTAAAATTTTTTAGAAACATTTCAATAATTGCCTAGAAAAGCATGCCCAAGACCCTGGTACCCTAGCTTCCTAATGAGAATACTGCCAGTCAGGGTCTGATACCTGATAAATGGTGATGGTGTTTCCAATAAACAAGAGTATGCTCTTCCATAGTGAGGGAATGTGACTTCTATAGCAGTCCAAAGACATGGAGAGGTGAAGCTTGAAAAGATGTACACAGGGATGAGGATACAGCTTGGTGATAGAGCAATTGCCCAGGATGTATTAGGTCCTGTCCTAGCATCACAGAAATGCAATGTTGCCGTGCACAAGAAGGGAAGGTAGAGATTGTGGGAATATAGAAAAAAATACACAGCAAACTGTTCCCTGGGATGAGAAGTACAGTGTAACTATAGAGGACTTTCATTTTCTAACACGCTCTTAAACCATTAGTAAATCCAGCATAATTAAGAACAAGTTACTGATCACTTGGGAAAGAGAGAACTGTGCAGTCTGAAGTCAGCCTGGGCTATAAAAAAAAAAAAAAAAAAAAAAAAAAAAAAACAACCAACCACAGCAACAACAAATGAATTGTCTGTGGAAACATCCAGGATGGCACAAACACAACACTTAAAACAATAACAAGGTTATTGCTCACATAGCCTAAGAGGCTAAAGACGGGACAATTGCCCATCTCAACAAATACAATGTATGGGTAGTATTGGAATGTGTTAGTAAATATTTGGAATTTAATTCTATTTTGTTTATAATCTATCACAATAACTGATCATGAGCCTTGCAAATTTTTTTGCAGGTCCTCGAACAAAGTTGTCATTATCTATAGTTAGAAATAGCAATGGCAGCCAGGTATTGGTGGCATACCTTTAATCCTAGCACTCGGGAGGCAGAGGCAGGCGGATCTCTGTGAGTTCGAGGCCAGCCTGGTCTACAGAGTGAGTTTCAGGACAGGCAGAGCTATACAGTTCTCTATATAGACAAACCAAACCAAACAAACAAACATGCAAAAAATAGCAAGGCTTTGGGGTCACACATCCTCAAGTTCCATTGCTGATTTCACCTCCTTTGCTTTCAATGAGGGAAGGGTTCAGGATCTCAATGCTTAGGATGGGGGATGGGACTTAAGAGGAGCAAGAGGGAAAAAGGAAATTCCAAAGGAGGAATAAAGAAAACACAGGGGAGAGGGGAAGTGGGGGGGGGGGGATGTAGTTTCCTTTCAGCACAGATACATTAAAATAATTCTCTTTCTTTTTAAACAGCATCAGTACAGGAAGGCACAGTAACTTGGAGGTTGAGGCTGAAAGACCAGAGTTTTAGGCTAGCCTGAGCTGCATAGCAAGACCTCAGTTCAAAAAAACTAAAACCCAAACTAAAATCCATCCAACTAATTTCAGTAGAGGCTAGGGGATAAGCATATGTGTGTTTCTAGAATAAATAAATCTGGGAATGGGGACCTGGGAGGTAGGATGATGAACTGAGAAGTGTCAGAAACTTCTGCAAGCCTTATAGTTTTGCCTGGGAAATGATGGAGAGAGAATATTTGTAAAAGGAAATAACCAATGACCCAGGACCATACTCTGAGAGGCAGATATAATACAATATAAACGGAGCCATGACTTCTGTATTCCCTTTATAAAGCAGTCAGACAACTGTAACTTTAATTTCTAATTTCAAATATGAAGAAAGCATCTCCCATTTTAGAGAAAAACATCAGTGTTAACACAGTCCACTTGTTACGGACTACATATTTAAAAGAACAAAATGTGATCTGCTACCTACAAATTTTCCTGATTTGGAGGCATTTGAACAGGTACTGAAAGTTCAGCTGCTTAAGTAACAGTCTTCAACAGGCAATGGATTCCATCTGGGAAATTTGATATCTCATACGACTGCTGATGCTTGCGGAAATACTTTTCCCATAATCATACACCTGGTCTTAGGTAAATCAAAGCAACGATCTCTCTTACAGAAGCAGAGCTGGAGAAACTGAGCTGTGCTCACCCCCTGCTGGGCTTCTAAGAATGGCCATAGCAATAAGTAGACGAAGAACTACGCAAAGGGAAAGGACAGAATCACTTTGCTCCCTCTAACCACTGAAGACAGAGGACTGCCTCTCAACAGTGCAGAGGATGTGTTTCATCCATGCCATTAACCACCAAACTCAGGCTAGTTTGGGCTTTTGATTGTTTTGGCAAGGTTGGACTGAATAATAGCAATTTAGCACTGACACAGGATTTAAAATACTTGCTTGCCATGGGGGAAAATGCTCAGCAGTAAAGAGTGCTTGCTAGTCTTGCAGAAGACCCAAGTTTGGTTTGTAGCACCCACATTAGGTAGCTCTCAAACACATGTAACTCCAGCTTCAGGGTATTCAGTGCCCTCCTGGCCTTCACACACACACACACACACACACACACACACACACACACACACACCACACCACACCACACCACACAATAATAATAATAAATCTTTAAAATACTTGACATTAATCTCACTT